TGAGGTCACAGGGTGGAAGGGCCCGGGCTCGGCTGGAGCAGAAAATGCCCACTAAGCACTTTATTCACCATTACTGGCCTCCAGGAGGAGGCTCAGCAGGCCCATAAATTCAGGACAACAGAGCTGGCAGGTGCCCTGGAAGCCACAGCCTCAGCACCTCCCTCCACTGGGAGCCCACAGGAGGCACTGGGTCTCAGGCCCCACCCAACCGCTGAGCTGGAATCTCAGCTTTGCAAGATCCCCAGGAGGTTCTCAGGCCTGAGAAGCACTTCTGTGGACTTAATCGAGGTCACATCTCCATTCACATGGGAGAGGCTGATGCCCAGAGGGAGGAGGCTGGCCCAGGGTCACACAGCTGGTTCCAGCCTTGGCTCTGTCACTTACACACTCACTACTTCTTGGTTTCCTCTTGGAGGATAAAGGGGTAATATGACTACTGCTTACTGCTGGTGGAGGGGTCAAGTCAGACAGCACCCAGGCCCGTGCTGGGTACGCAGGGTATGAGTGCCAGCACTGCTACAGTTCCAGCACCACACCGCACCGCCCGGCCCACAGCAGTCAGGGAAGAGTGTCAGGTAGGTGGTGCAGGAGGTGGGCCTAGACCCAGCTCCTACCTTTCTATCCTGCTCTGCTGTTTACCTTGAGCCAGATCCCAAGCCACTCTTTGGTTCTTGGCTTCGGTTGTATCATTTGTAAATGGCAGTAATGATAGCACCCACCCCAGAAGGCTGAATGCATTTAAGGTCTTCACAGAGGCCGTGGCCCTAAGCGCACAGGATACAGAATGAAATCCATGAAGTGTCCAAAACTGCGAGTGGGGAGCTGGCCTTGGCAGGGGGGTCTTCTCCAAGGGAGTGGCTCTGCTTTGCCCTTGACTTAGTGCAAGCCCCCTGTCCACTTTCTCCAGCCCTGGGACCCCACCCTGACTACGCTTATCCTTCTCACCGGGCCCTTGTGCCTCAGTCAGGACCCCCGGGAGGCAGGGACATCTGTCCCCAGAAGCAGAGTTAGCATCTCTGCAGGACAGTCAGCGGGGGTGCAGATGGGGAGCTGTTCTGGTGACTCCGGGGCAGAAGCAGCAAGTGCCGGGAGGTGGTCTCCAATTATCAGACCTACCTGTTCAGAGACAGCACCAGCTGCCGGGTGGAGTGCTGAGGACCCTGGGAAATGGGGCTGGGAGGCACCCACCTCTTGGCCTGCCCCAAGGCACCACCTGCAAGGTGCAGCCTCACAGCCACCACCTCCTCTGGGACCCCCACTTTGTAAGCAAAGTAAGTGTGTGCCCACAGCCCAGCCCCTCTGGCAGCTGGTGTTTGCCGCAGAGTCAGAGTTCTTTTGCAGGGTGCCCAGCAAGGAGACTGGGCAGCTCAGGCTGCAGAGACAAAGGCTTTCAAGCAAAATTTTTTATTTTTTGTGATATTTATTATTTGGCTGCAGCACATAGAATCTATATCGTGGTGCACGGACTCTTCAGGTCCATGCGGGCTTCGTTGCTCTGCAGCACCTAGGATCTTAGTTCCCTGACCAGGATTGACCCCGGAACCCCCGCCTTACACGGTGGATTCTTAACCACTGGACCATCAGGCAAGTCACAGGCGAGGGTTTCAGAGCCAGTGCTGGGGGAGGGCTCTGGGATGCCTGAGCAGCTCCTGGGCCTCCTTCTGGTTGCTGGTGAGGCGACAGGGTGACATTTCAGGACTCTCAAACATCCACCTTCTGGTTCCAGTCACTCTGGGGTCTATGTGCTTGTGGTCAGCACAGAGCTGCCATCCTCCAGGGTAAGGGTCTTAGTTTCTACAGAACAGCTCAAAGATACACCTCAGATTGTAATTTACTTCCTTCAGGGGGAGCAGGGGCCTGGACCTGGTCCTGGTCTCTGACTGGCGAGTCTGCTCTTTGGAATCAAGGAGGACCCAGGAGACAAAGCCTTTCTCTGCAGACAGGAAACGGGGGACCAGGAGGGGGTGTACTGGGAGGGCCCTGGGGGTCCTGCTTGGTCTCAGCTCCCCCCTTGCCTTTGATACACCTCAATCCTGACAAGAAAGGGAATAAAGTGATGGGTAGAGAGATTCATCATGAACCCGGACAGGAGACTCAGGTTTAGGGGGCCTGGCCTCACTCACAGCAGGCAGGCCTCCTCCACCCGCACCACGCTGCCCTGAGGGGCTTCCAGGCCGGCAGCCGGCCTCTGAGAACAGCGTCTGCCTTAACCCAGCTTCACCCCCCGGAGGTGCGACTGGCCCCTCCCCACCGAGGCTGCTTCCAGTTACAGGTGGTCCCAAGCTTGCAGCTCGTGTTGGAGGCTGGCCGACGGCCTTCTGCTGTGGCTCCACCAGAGGGCAGCCTGTCCCCAGCTTTGGGGCCCAGACGCCCCACCCAGCTGTTCCTGTGGGCCCTCCCAGAGAGGCCGCTCTGGTGATCTGTTTGTGGAACTATCTATCCCCACCCCATCCCCACAGTGCAAACCCTTCTGGGAAGACATCTGGTCGACCACATCCCGGGCTGCACAGAGTGATGTTGCCAGGATGAGGGCACCTTGTCCCAGGGACCTCACCTCGCACTTCCCTGCACTCTGCGGTGCTGACTGGTTTAAACCAGTCCTGTATGTTCAGGACCCATGTGTATGTCAGGGGTTCCTCCCCGGGGTCTGGTCCTATGGACGTGGTGCACAGACTTGCTGTTGTTAAAGCAGCTGCTTCTTGTTTTGTAAATCCAGTGTGGGCAGAGGAGCCCAGCCCCCAACATGAGACAGGCCGCCCTCAGACGAGCTCATACAGAAGTTCACGTGTCCGTTGACTTGGCCGAGGAGGAGACCGGAACTCCTGCGTTAAAATGCTAATCCCCAAGGGAATGGCGTTGGGAGGTGGAGCCTTTGGGAGGTGCTTAGGGATTGAGTGAGGGGCCCTGTTGAGTGGGATTAGTGCCCCCCTGAGAAGCCAGAGCCCCCACCCCCTGGTGAGGTGACTGTGCCTGTGAACCAGCAGGCAGGCTCTCCCCAGACACTGAACCTGCCGGCAACTTGACCTTGGGCTTCCAGCCTGGAGAACTGGGAGGAGTACAGTTCTGTTGTTTAGAAGCCCCCTCAAGCGCCCCCCTCTGGACTGTGGCATTCTGTTATAACAGCCTGAACAGACCAAGGCAGAAACTGGTGCCAACCAGTGGGGTGCTGCTGTAACCTAAAACTGTGAAAGTGGCTTTGGAACTGGGTGATGGGTAGAGGCTAGAGAGGTCTGGGAAAGTCTGCTCAGAAAAAACCTACATTGTCATGAACAGACCTTGAAAGGGGATTCTGGTGAGAGCCTAGAAAGGAGAGAGCATTAGAGAAAGAGCCTAAGTCGTCTCAGGGCAAGAGGAAGAAGTAACTCCAAGCAGAATGTTGCAGAAATACTGATGACAAGAGCCATTCTGATGACAGAAATGAGAGGCGTGGTATTGGAAAGGGGACGGGGGAACCCCTGTTATAAAGTGGCAAAGAACATGGCTCAGGCATGTTCAGACTCTGGTATTTTGTGGAAGGCAGACCTCAGATCAAGGGTATTTAGCTGAGATCTTTGGGGAAAGTGTGGACAGAGCAACCTGGTTTCTCTCTGCTACTGAGAGGGAAATGCAGAAGTGCCCGGAGGGCGACCTCGTGCGTGCACAGGAAGCCAACCTTAAACATCAGCCTGCCCGGCTGCAGAAAGGGCATTCAGGGTGCAGCCAGGTGACCTCCGGAGAGATGAGGACAGGTCGGCCCTTAGGGAAGCCGGGTGCTGTTCCATAGGACACTGGCGGGGTGGCCCAGAAGGTGACTCAGAGACCAGGACCGCCTCCACCTGGGGTCAGCTGAGTGGCCCCTCTGTGGGGCCTGGCAGGGGCAGGGGGCACCTGCTGTGCCCTGGGGGACAGGCCCTCCCCACCCAAAGGCAGAAGACTGGTTTCTGGCTTTGTGGTCCAGAGGCGTCTGACCCGCTCCGTTTCGGATTCTGTTGTCCCTGTTTCTCCCTTCCTAGTTCTCCCTCAGAAGAGGGATGCATGCCCGGCCTCTGCACATTTTCAGAAAAGAGGAATCGGCCTCAGCATACCTCAGCCCTGGCCAGCGTTATGGCTCTGGGAGGAAAGTCCAGACTCTGGGGCTGGAGGGAAGGAACTCCACACGTGAAAGGCGCTGAATCTGGGGGCAGAATGCTGCTGCCCCGCCCCCCCACTCACACGGTCACATGCTGGAATCTGGGGGAGCAGCCTCTGGGAGCTGCTGCCCCTGGAAAACCCCCATCCCTTCCCCCATACCACTGCACCCTCCCTGCAGACCTGAGCTTCCTGGATCTGACACAAAGCTCCTGTGGCCGAGCTGTCCTCTCACTCAGGCGCTTCCCATGCTGGAAACAGTTCTGAGCACAGTCTGGAGGCCTGGCTCACAGCTCTTACGCCCGGATGGGGCAGCAGGATTGGGCTGGCTGGACACCATGCCTAAGTTCAGTTAGAAACGGACACTGGGGAGGAAGCAGACACTTTCCCTCCCCAGGCCTCCTGCCAACTTGGTTGCTCCCATCAAGTCCCCCACAGAGCAGGACACCAGTCCCCCACCCCAGAGAGCAGGACACCAGTCCCCCCACCCCCAGAGCGGAAATGGCTCTCCCACCCCCAGGGCAGGACAGCCGCCGGCTCTGTTCTGACAGCTTTATTGACAGGGTGCAGGGTCAGCTTGAGCACAGCCCGTGCTGCAGCCCTTGGTCCAGGCAGCGCCACGTGGCATCACCCTCTGTCCCTGGGGTCGGCGGGCCTGGCCCCGCCCCGTCCTCCTGCTGCTCCGGACCTGGGGCCTGGAAGGGGTGGGCGGTGTGGCCAGAGGGCGAGGGTCCCAGGAGAAGGGTGGGGGCAGGGCCCAGGTGGGAGGGTGCAGGTGTCCAGGTGAAGGCAGGCCGCGTGTGCCTCCCTCCGCGTCTGCAGGTCAAGCCAGGTATACTGAGGATGGGCCCGGGGCTGGGCTGCGCTGATGGGACCAGTGCAAAGTCGGAGGGGGAGGAGGGAAGGGAAGAGGTGGGGAGGGGAGAGGTGGGGGGACACCCAGAGCAAGAGGCCCCGCTGGTGACATGGTGGGCCAGGTAGGGGGGCCCTCCAGCAGACGCCCAAACCCAAGGAAGCCAGACACCCTGGGGTCGAGTCCTTAGTGACGCGTGCAGGACTGAGGGAGGGAGGAAGCCTGGCGGTCTCAAGGTCGTTGGGGTGGGGGGCGACGAGAAGCACGGCGTGGGCAGTGGGGCGTGGGCGCGGGGCGCTCACTCAGAGTGAACCAGAGCCCCAGCTCCCTGCCCGAAGCCGAAGCCCTTGGGCCCGAAGTTCTTTGCGTAGCATCCTGCAGAGAGAAGAGAGGGGTGAGGACTCCCACTCCCACCCCAGCACCTGCCAGGGGCTCTGGAGCAGTGAGGCGCACAGCAGAGCCCCCCCAGCATCGACGCCGACAGTGAGGAGCGTCCTGGCTACTGCCCTGCCTCTGAAATCCCAGGAGAAGCGCCACCTGCAATCAGAGCTAGGAGGTGGAAGGGAGCCCAGGCCCCGCCCCGCCCCGCCCTCTGTCCAAGGCATGTCCCCCCACACCCCCACCCGGACTCCTTCTCAGCTGGCTGCACACAGAGGCTTCAGGAGACGCTTGGAAAGGGACTCCAAGGCCGGAACTGGCCGTCGCGTATGGGCCTGACTGATCGGCCCTCCAGGAAGGGAGGGCATTGAGGGAAGGCCGCTCACCTTTGCAGTAAATCTCGCCATCCTTGTCAGCCAGGGTGGTGGACTCGAGGCCTTTGCCGCACTTGGCACATCGGAAGCAGGACTTATGCCAGGACTGGGGAGGGAAGGAAAGAACTAACTGCCGCCCCAGCCCATCCCCTTGGAGGTGTGACGAAGACACCTGTGGGGTCTGCCCAGCCTCCCCCACCTCCTGGAGGAGGTGCTGGGGGGCCAGTGCAGCAGCTGCCCCACGAAAGGCAAGCGGGGCCCCCCAGCCTTGTCCCAACTCCCACCCGGGACCGCTGGTCTGGCTCGGACCCATCCTGGCCCAGGTTCCAGGCCAGTGGCCCCCTCATTCCTCACGGGGGACGTGAGGAGCAGTCACACATGCTGGGGCCTGGCTGCAGGGTCAGCTTTTGTGGTCACCAGGCCTCTGGAGTTCTCGAGGGCCCTCACTGCAGGGGGAGGCCACAGCCAGGCAGGGGCCTAGTGCAGAGGCAGTGCCTGGCACCCGGGAAGGAGGAAGGGTCCACGGAGCTCCAGGAGAAGGCCGGGGGCCAGAGAAGCCCCTCTGGAGCTCGGAGGCCACACGGCCAACAGCCCCTCAGAGGAAGGCAGCCCCGGTCTGCACCCGGTGGGGGCCAGCCAGACCCTAGGTCAGCCGCCAGCTCCCAGCTGACAGCTCTGCATAGCCCGAAAAGCTGGAGGCCAGCAGCAGCAGACGGGACAAAACAAAACAAAGCCTTTTAAGGGCAAGGAGGCTCCCTTGCTCAGCAGCCCTTCCTGAGCTAGAGATGGGAAGGGAAAAGGCAGGCCCTGGGCTTCCTGGCAGCCAGGCCCATGCGTGTTGACTCCTGCCCAGGGCTCTAGGGGCCTCGGTGTTCGCGCTGAGGGCACCCTGGCCTTGGCTCGTCCTCAGGGAAGCCCAGGCTGCCCCCCAGTCTCCAGGCAGACGGAGGACTGACCACCACCACTGTCCCTACAGACACAGTCGGGTTCTGCTGGTGGGGTCAGCACCTAAAGTCCTGCTCCTCAGCCCTTCCTCGGGCACGGACACTAGGCTCCTCCTGCCACCTCTGCCCACAAGAGAACCCTCCTCCCTAGGGGAGAGACTCGGGTCCAGAGAGGCCACAGACAGGCTCCAGGCCCCGCGGCACCGCAGCTGACCACATGGCCCTGGCCACATCTGTGTGAAGGCCCAGCACCGTCCCCGGGCCCCTGCTGAAGAAGCCTCTTCTGCGGCCCTCTGACAGCTCATCTGAGGCCACCCCTCCCTGCGGCTTCTCTAAGGGAGGGTCCCACTGCACTCTGGTGACTGGGGGTGGGGGGCTTCCACTGGAATATCGCAGTGGGGGGCAGGCAAGACAGCCAGACCAAGTTTGCCTCCTAGGAGGCTCTGACAGGCCTCAACCTTCGCTAACTCTGCCATGGGAGCACATGAGTGGATTTCTGTGGATTTTGGGTGGTTCTTGACATTTCTGTATCACAAATCTTTTTGAAAATCTGATGAATGCTATGGATCTTCTTCCCAGAGAGAGATGAGACCCCACACAACTATGCACATTCTTTTCAGAGCTGGTGTCCATGCACCCTTAGCAGTCAGGAGACCCTGACTCTGGAGACTTGGATCGATCAGAAGCTCCCTATGAAGTGCGCTATTGTTGTCCAGTCAGTCAGGTGTTTCTGATTCTTTGCAACCCACTGGACTGCAGCATGCCAGGCTTCCCTGTGCTTTACTATCTCCCAGAGTTTGCTCAAACTCATGTCCATTGAGTCGGTGATGCCATCCAACCATCTCATTGTCTGTTGTCCCCTTCTCCTCCTGCCTTCAATCTTTCCTAGCATCAGGGTCTTTTTCAATGAGTCGGCTCTTCACAGCAGGAGGCCAAAGTATTGGAACTTCAGCATCAGCATCAGTCCTTTCAGTGAATATTCAGGACTGATCTCCTTTAGGATGGACTGGTTGGATCACCTTGCAGTCTAAGGGACTCTCAAGAGTCTCCTCCAGCACGATTTGGAAACATCAGTCCTGCGGTGCTCAGCCTTCTTCATGGACCAGTGGTGAGGCTGCTCTGATGGGGGATTCAGCCCTCTGGAGACTAGGAGGCTCAGGAGACAGCCTCGCAGACAAAGGGACTCCTTCTGTGCTGGGCTCTGAGGTGAAGGGGGAGCTACGTGCAGGGCCCAGGCTCCCCTGAGCAGTGGGAGCACACTTCAAAGCTTCAGAATGCACATTTCAGGAATGTGTGTGCCCCCCCCCACCCCCGGCACACGCCCGGCCTTACCTTCCCAGCGCCAATCACCTTCTCGGCGGCATAGACGGCCTGGCTGCACCGCGGACAGCGCTCGGAGCCCCCGATCTTCTGGGCGAACTTGGACGTGTTGGGGTTGGTGGTGGGCCTGTGGCCGGGGGCCCTGCTCAGGGAAGAGCATGAGGGGATGTACAGAGAGCAACACGGGGTGGTGGGGACAGGCCTGGAGGGCACCACCCGCCTGCACCTGGCCCAGCCCGCCCCAAGGCCGCCACTGCCAGGGCTGCAGGGGGACGCACCGAGGACCCGAGGGCCACCTCTGCTGACGGGACCCACCAGCGGCCCACAGTATTCCTTCCTCAAGATGTCAGACTCCCCTCGGCACCAGTTAGAATGCCGGAGTCACTGACAGCTCGTCTGCTAAGAACTGGCCTCCCCTACCCCCAGCTCCTGCAGCACTATTACTAGAGTCTTCCCAGGAGAAATCAGCTGACAGGTCGCTCCCATGAGGTGACGACCTTGGCCGAAGTGTGGAAAGTCACCATCCCCCAGGGCCAAGGGGCTGGCGAGCTGACTGCCAACACCCAGCTCACAGCAGGTCAGTGGTCAGAGGGTGCTGGGGTCTTCGTGACACCCGTTTCCAGGAAGGGAACTGACACCCCGTGAGCACGGCTGAGAGGTGGTCCGGCTCAGACCCTCAGTGGCTGTGGGGTGCCTCCAAGTCACTGAGACCGGCTAGGTTCTCTCATCTGTGGACAGAGGAGAGGGGCCTAGCCGTTCTCAGGGCTCCTCCCAGTGCATGGAAATATGGCCACGGCTCCGCACGGGGAGGGGCCTGGCCGCTCCAGCCCCTCTGCCCCCGCTGCTCTGCCAGGCCCGACGCACTGTAGGACCTCTGTTCCGGGTGGGGGTACTCACTCCTCGTGTCTGATGCCGAGCGACTCCCCCTTGTCCATGCTCAGGGTGCCTGCGCCCTGCCCGTAGCCGTAGCCCTTGGGCCCGTACTTCTTGCCGTAGCAGGACTTGCAGTAGATCTCCTCGCCGTGCACGGCCACGGTGGTGCTGTCCAGGTTCTTCTTGCAGACCACTGCGGGGGCCACAGGGCCAGCGGGTCACGGCTAGCCCCCGCCACCAAAGCTCCCTGGGATACTGTGCACGCAACACCCTGACCTCCCAGGAGCCAGGGGCCTGGTGATGGGGTTGGGGTGGCCAGGGCACTGGGAGGGGAGGAGGGCCTATGGATGCTGGCCCAGTGCCTCTCCCAGAGCTGGGTGGGCTTCCTCGCCCCCACACCCTGAGAATTTTCCGAGCTCACAGGGCCAGCGGCCTAGGCCGACCCCACGCCCCAGGGGGTGTGCCGGGCCTTACTGTCCTTGACAGACACCGTGGGTCCCAACAGAAGAGGAGAAGCAAGAAGGGCAAGGCTGTCCTGCCTCCCACGATTTGATTCAGAAGGGACGCCCATGGGTGCGGGGGCAGAGGGCAGGGTGGAGACGCTCCCGGGGGAAAGTCACATTTATTCGGCACCCAGTGCAACTGGCTTAGAAATGAGATAGAGGTTGTGTTCATCAAGACAACGGGATTTGAAGTTTCTAGTTGGAAATCACTTGGCCACAGGAGGTCAGATGCTGGGAGAATTCCCTGACTCCGGGGTGCAGGGAGATTGGAATGGGGAACACTGGAAGGCATGCAGAGTGCCTGCAGCCTCCTGTGGGTCTCAGAGCAGCACCGTGATCCAGAGTGAGACAGTGTGGAGCCCAGGGTCACACAGAACCCAAGCTAGCCCACGTCCAGGGAGAGTCCTGGCCAGGCTACAGTGCCTTCCCAGCCAGCAGATGTGTCCCCACCAGCAGATGACGACGGTGCCCCCTGATAGATGGCTGAAGATTAAACGAGACCTTGCCTGGGAAGCGCTTAGCACAGTGCCCTGCACACAGTAGGTCATCGTGAACATGGCTGCCCCAACAGTGTGACCCAGAGTTAGCGCCTGGGAACACAAGGGCGGGAAGGGCCAGGCCCCAGAAGACCATCAGTGTCCAACCCCCAAGTGCTTCTCTCCAGAGACTCACGTCCCGTTGATGTAGGCTTGGGCCTAGGATAACAAGCAGGTTCCACGAAGGCCCTGAGATGGGGGAGTCACTGTGCCCACCAGGACCACGTCCTCAAACACGTCCTTCTGAAGAGGGACCCCTGGAGGAGCCAGCCTCTCCTCCTCTCGAGGAGCACTCAGCTCACCTCCGTGCCCCTTGCCAGTTCCTTTGCCTTTAGGTAGATTCCTCCCCGCCCGCCCCCCCACCCGGCCCCCATGTGGCTCTTGGGATCTTAGTTCCCTGAGCAGGGGCTGAACCTGGCCCTTGGCAGTGAAAGCATCGAGTCCTAACCACTGGATCTGCAGGGAATTCCCAGCCTTCCCCTTGCCTTTAAAGGCCAGCTCTCTGCCCCACCCCCACCCGTGGGCCCAGGTTGGAGACTTCAGACTAAATAAGGACCCTCTGGTCCTGCCTGTGAGATCCCCATGTTCTTCCAGCATGCGGGCAACCAAATATGGGCTGTCCTGCCGCCTCCCCAGGGCTTGACTCCGGCCTGGAAGAAGCGGGCACAGCCAGCCAAGGGCTCCAGCATTCCCTTCTAGGGTGGGAAGCCCGGAGTCATTCTGGAACTGCTTCCTGTAAGACCCAGAGTGACCTGGAAATTCCTAAAACTAGACGGGAGGCGGCAAGCAAGACTGAGCGGCCCGGGGACTAAGGTCTCCTTGGGCCAAACTTCCCTGCAGGGACCTGGGGATTCAGCTCAGAGGGGACCCCGGGGTCTACGAGTGACACCTCCCAAAGGCCTTGCCATCTGGCACCAGCAGGCTCCCCCAAATTCCCAATGAGGGGGAGTCTTGAATGATGGCCTAAATGCATTTCTACCAAATCATGTTAAGCAAAAACCAACCAAAAAGAAGAACTTAGGCTGAGGCCTGCTCTGCTCTGCCAGCCAGGAGCCCTTCCGGGGGGTCAGGCGTGAACCACAGCCTGCAGGCAAGGGGATGCCGCTGTGGCTGGGTCTGTGAGCACCCTGGGGCTCTGGGTTCTGGGGCGCAGCCCTGTTCCAGCAGCTGTCCCCTCAGGGCGAGGCCACACCAGCTCTGCCTTCCCATGGGCTGGCCTGCCCCAGGACAAGGCTGTCACAGCTCAGAGACAACGCAGCCTTGGGGCCGGTGCCCACAGAGCCAAGGCCTCCCGGGCTGGGGACTGGCTGCCGCTTCTCGGACACCAGGGCGCACGCTCCAAGCCCAGCCCAGCGTCTGTCCCATCCCCCCAGCCCCGCACCCTTGACTTCCCTGACCGCCCCGCTGGCAGCCGCTCCTCCCCGGCAGCTGCCGTTGGTGACCAGAGCCACATGTGACAGTGGAGAGGGGTCCTTGGGGCCAGTAGTATGGACCGTCTCCCTGGCCAGCACCAAGCCCTCTTATGCCCTCCGAGAAAAATAAATGGCCTGAAAATTCCTGAGCACAGTGAGCTGCTGATGAAACGGCACGGCTGTCGGCCTCCTCCCCGGACGCCAAAGGCTCCGCCCGAGCTCACTTCCCACCTGCAGCCGGCACAGCCCTCAGTCAGCATGGGCGGGCGCGGAGCCTGCGGGGCCTGCGTGGCCTGCTCTGGAGGTGGCTTTCGGCTGGCCCGCCCGCAGCCGGCGGGAGCTGTTGCTCCTTCAGGGGCAGGCGGCCCCGGGGGCCTGGGTCCCACTCAGGAGCATGGGCTCCGGAAGCAGCGGAGCCACAGCGGGGGGCAGGGCCCGGTTCCCGAGCCTCCCCAACAGTTTGGGGCCACCCTGAGTCCTAGGCTTCTTGCTGGGGATCCCCTGCACCGTGTGTGTGTGTACCTGTATGTGCAAGTGTTCATGTGCGCGCGCACATGTGTCTATGTGCATGGGTGTGTGTGTGCACGCACGTGTGTGCCTGTGTCCACATGTGCATGGACGCGTGTGCATGCACATGCATGTGTGTGTGCACATGTGCATGGGTGTGTGTGTGTGCATGTCTGTGTGTGTATGCGTGTGTGTGCATGTCAGGGAGCAGCTATCGTTAACTGAACACTCACAACTGCTCTAAGCGCTCCTTTTGTTTTCTGACCCATTCCTCTGAGTTCCCACAGCCCTGCCCCATGAAGTAGGTGTTGTTTTTCTCCCCTGTAATGTGGAGAAAATGCAGAGAGAGGAGGCCCCTGACTCTCAGCACCCAGAAAACAGAAAGGAAATTCACATGTGGACTCTCACCCACTGGTTCTGAAGGCTCAAGGCTCAGCTGACACACTTCTGCCCGCCCAGCGCCACCGCCTGGGCTCAAGGGAAACAGGTCACCTCCTCTAAGCCCCTCGGCTGTGAGCCCGTCAGTCAGGAGCCTGCGGACGTCCCCCACCTCCAGGGCCGGACGCTCAGGACACCTGGGCCCCGGCCGCGGCTTGCACCCCGGGCACCGAGGCGCCTGCCTACCAGGCAGTGACTGGGGCCTGTCTCCTCCCGGCCGTCAGTATGATGTCAACATTCCCTCACCCGGACCGTTGGGCGGAGGTGGGGGCTGAGGGGAGAGGCCTCCCGCCCAGAGACGCCAGGGGAGCCCAGCCCCTCCCCAGACGCATCTGCCTGTGAGTTTATGTTTAACTGAGGGTTAGTTGACATGTCTGTGTCCATTGCCCAAGGACATGAACTCAGGCAAACTTCGGGAGATGGTGAAGGACAGGGAGGCCTGGCGTGCTAGGGGTCCATGGGATCACACAGAGCCGGACACGAATGGGCAACTAGACAGCAAACAGTTGTTGCTGACTTACTGTGTCATGAACCGCCAGCTGCGCGACACAGAGGCTTGCCGTTTTCAGAGTCACTCGCCCGCGACCGTTGCAGGGCCCTGTGCCCTGCAGCGCTTCCTCGGAGCTTTCTTATCTGACACGCAACAGTCGGCACCTTTTAATCCTCTCCCCCTGTCCTGCTCTCCCCCAACTAGTGTGTCCTCCACATCTGTGATTTCTGTGGACTTTTAACAAAGGGTAATCTGGGTCCAGGGGTTGGTGAAACTCTGGGCTAAAAGCGTCTTGCTCTTAATTGCCAGGATTGTGGTAGGGAGAGAGGCAAGACAAAGTGAGTGGGAAGTTTTCCCCACCGGGTCTTTCCGGCTTGGCGCTCAGGCCCTGGTGTGTCCACCCCCTCCAGCTCAGTGGGCCAGCCCCCCACAGCCCCCGCCTCCGCCTTAGAAAACAGCTTCTGAGGAACACAGGGGCCCTGAAGCGCTTCCCCGCCCTGCTGCGCTCCAGCCAAATGTCAGGCTGTTTACGACCATCCCTCCCGAGGACCGTCCCCCAGGGGCTGACAGGCCGGTCATCCCCATGGCGACAGCTGGTCTGGGCGGGCACTCACTGCATAGGAAGCAGGACTTGTGGAAGCTGCTGCCTTCGCACTGGACCTCTTCGGCAAAGTACACCGTCTTCTGGCACACCCCACACTTCTTGCCTCCTCCCCAGTTCGGCATCCTGGAAGTGGAAACAGAGAACGGAATGAACTTTTCAGGGAGGCGGAGACCCGGATGGCCCAGGACAGGGCCTGGGGCAGAGGCCTCCCCAGATAGCAACCTGGGGATCGCTGTGCAGTCACTCTATTTTCAGTCCCCCCCACCCAGCCCACTAGGACATAAACTCGCACAAGACACAGGCTGGTGTAGAAACAACAATAAACCCTTTGCTGTGTGCATCCATATGATGAATCTCACAGCAAAAGAAGCAGGTGAACTAGAACTCATAAAACACAAACTATCTGTGTCGGGTCTCAAACAGGCAAAACTCATAGTGTCAAGGGAGGAACACATGTGTGGGAGAGCTACAAAGAAAGACAAGGGTGAGTATCAGAGACTACTATCTTAGATTTGGCACCTCGAAAACAGAAAAAGAGGGCCACCACGGGTCATCACATGGGGGCTCCTGTTGTAATTATTCTTTGAACTTCCATGTAGGTTTATAAAAAATATATATATTTATTTATTTGGCTATACTGCGTCTTGGTTGTGGTATGCAGGATCAAGTTCCCCAACCAGGCATCAAACCTGGGCCTCTGCATTGGGAGTGAGAAATCTTAGCCACTGGACCACCAGGTAGGACCCCAGTTCAGTTCAGTCACTCAGTCGTGTCCAACTCTTTGCGACCCCATGGAATACACCACGCCAGGCCTCCCTGTCCATCACCAACTCCTGGAGCCTGCTCAGACTCATGTCCATTGAGTCAGTGATGCCATCCAACCATCTCATCCTCTGTTGTCCCCTTCTCCTCCTGCCGTCGATCTTTACCAGCCTCAGGGCCTTTTCCAATGAGTCAGCTCTTCGCATCAGATGGCCAAAGTATTGGAGTTTCCACTTCAGCATCAGTCCTTCCAATGAATATTCAGGACTGATTTCCTTTAGGATGGACTGGTTGGATCTCCTTGCAGTCCAAGGGACTCTCAAGAGTCTTCTCCAACACCACAGTTCAAAAGCATCAATTCTTC